CTCAACAAACCAGTTCGTAGTTTCACAAATTGACAGCAGTGTGAGAACAAAAAGACTACAGTTATCCTGTGCTGTTGTTGTTAGCTACACCCTTTGCTTTACACCTCTGCAGACATGCGATGGGAAGTGACCTGGGAGCTGGATGCATGCTTATGGGTGGAGACACCTTTGGGTGCAACGCATTCCCCGACGAGACTCATGTAAGAGCTGAACTCAGTGTCTCAAATCTGTCCGAGCACGAGTCAGCTACGTACCAGTGATCCCGACAGGTAAGACGCTTCATTCCTGCTCAGTTATTTGATTTGCATTTTTATTTCAATTGGTTTAAACTCATTCACAGATCTGCAGTTTACACTTTTGTTCTGTCTGTCGCAGCCTTTACAAGCCACACCATGAGTGAATCTGCAGAAGCTTTGGCCGCCGCTGTCGAAAGCCGGAGGAACGTCACCATAGAGATCACCAACCTCACCAACAACTACTGCCTGATTGACCCTAAGTATGTCCAAAATAAATGCACTTTTGCTCACTTTGTCTGTACAGATTAAAGTTAGAATATGCTTTAGGTGCAGCTTGACAAATATCCAGTTAGGAAAGTTCTTTTTCAAATTTTGCCTCCTGCTTTCATTTTTTCCTCACTTTTGCTGCTGTTAAAAATTAAAGGGTTTTCCTGGACAGTGGCAGCTGCCGCAGCCCCCCACAACCGACTGTACGTCCGCAAAAGACTGAAGTGTGCAACTTCGGCAAGGGCAAAGCCAAAGCCACCGGGGCAGTGGGCGTGCTGACCTACGACCTGTTCAAGAAGGAGCTCAACAGAGCCGATGAGACACTCGCTATAATGTTCTCTGTGCCGTATGACTATAACATGTACAAAAACTGGTTTGCCTTGGGAATCTACAAGAAGGGCAAAGAGTGCAATGAGAGCCTGTTCAAAGAGATGTATTACAACAAAGAGCAGGTGGGATTCTTGCGGGCGGAGGCCAAAGGCTCCGACCTCACCTTTGAGGGCGGGAGCCTGGACATCAAGGGTACCATGTCCCCCCTGGGCAGGGCCATCATGAAGGTGGAGATCTGGGACAAGCTCTTCACTCCTCACATGCAGCAATCTTACTGAGTTGTTGATTCGTGTTTGTCAGAGTAAACCTGCTTGAAACACCACCGTGTAGCCAACTGTACACCTGTGCTACTGTATTACCTGTAAATGCAATAAATTCTTACTAGTCTGATGTGATAAAACACAAG